ACCCAGGCCTCAAGCCAGGAGCCCCCATCTGGTAACCCCTTGTGCATAACTTCATCTGCACAAAGGTCCCCAGTGCAGCAGTCCATAGAAGGGGCCCAGTCAGTGCTTGGTGATGGAGACTTCAGAGTGGAGTGAACGCCCAAGGTTCAGTGTGTTCCTAAAATATCTCTCCCTGTACGTCTCTCCCCGCTTTAACAGGCTGACAAGGAAAGCCCTTTGGCGACAGAGAACCCACAGGCGTGCAGCGGGGTGAAAGGGACCCCTGTTGCTCCCATCCGGAACCATGAGCAGCGCCTGGAACACATCATGAAGAGAAAAGCTATCTTTGATGAGAAGGTGAGTTTGGGGGGGATTGAGGAGAGCCCAGTACAGGGAGAGAGTCCTCGGTTTGGAAGACAGAAGATCTGAATACTCCTCCTGGTTCTGCCGCTGACTTGCTGGCTGACCTTGGCTCAGTTCTTACCCTTCTCTGGGCCCTCTGTAAAACAGGGGTCATGCTATGTACTTCAAAAAGGCTATTAGAAGGATAAGATTTTTAAAAATAATAATAATATCTAGCATTTAAATAGTGTCTACTGTGTGCCGGGTACTGCTAAGCACTTTACAAATATTACCTCACTAGACTGTCTCAGCAACCCTGGGAGGTAGTATTATTTTTTTCCCCATTTTATAGAGGAGGAAACTGTACTAGACAGAGGTTAAGTGACTTGTCCAGGGTCACACAGCTAATCAGTGTCTGAGACTATATTTGAACTCAGGTTTTCCTGAGTCCACTTAGCTACTCAGCTGCCTGATAAACATCTCTACCTGGATTGTCTTGGATGCCCCATAGGCATGTCAAACTCAACATGTCCATCCCTATAACCCCCCCCAATTTTTCCTATTTTTGTCAGAAGCATCACCATTCTTCCAGTTACACAGATTCTTTACCTAAGAGTCATCTTCAAATCATCTCTACTCTCTTATCCCCCTCCCCCACCCTTTTTCCAGTTGGTTGTCAAGTCTCATCAATCTTATGTCCCCAACATCTCTCCAATCTCTTCCTCTTCTTTCTCTCCCAACAACCACCATAGTCAGGGCCATCATGAACTCTCATCTCTATTGTAATAGTGTCCCAAATGGTCCCATTACCTTTAACATCTCTCCTCTCCCAGCCTTCACTTACATGCCAAGTTCATCCTAAAGTATAGACCGGGCCCTGTCATTCCCCAACTCCAGAAACATCAGTTCTCCCTGTTGTCTTTAGGTTAAGAGGCAGGCTCCTCAATTTGGAACTATACCCTAGGGGCTTTGACCCAGCAATAGCACTTCTAGGGCTGTATCCCAAAGAGATCATAAAAACAGGAAAAGGACCCTCATGTACAGAAATATTTATAGCAACTCTTTCTGCGGTGGCCAAGAATTGGCAGTTGAGGGATGCCCATCAACTGGGGAATGGCTGAACAAGTTGTGGTATATGAATGTAATGGAATACTATTGTGCTATAAGAAATGATGAGCAGGTGGACATCAGAAAAACCTGGAAAGACTTGTATGGTCTGATGCTGAGTGAAGTGAGCAGAACCAGGAGAATATTGTACACAGTAATAGCCACATTGTGCGATGACTACCGTTGATAGACTTAGCTCTTCTCAGCAATGCAAGGATCTAAGACAACTCCAAAAGACTCAAGATGGAAAATGCCATCCACATCCAGAGAAAGAATTGTGGAGTCTGGATGCAGATGGAAGCACACTATTTGCTCTCCTTTTCCTTTGTTGTTTTGTTTTATTGCTTGTGGTTTCTCCAATTCGTTCTAATTATTCTTTACATCATGAAAATAAGAGAGAGAGAGAGAGAGAGAGGCAGACTCCTAACCTTTAAAGCCCTTCACAAGGCCGATGACACATTAGTCTTCCCACCTACGTGACATTCCATCTTCTGCCTCGTGCCTTGGCACAAGCTGTCCCCCCATACTGGAATGCTCTCCCTTCACTGCCAACTCTTAGAAACTTTTAATTCCCCTCAGGCCCAGCTCCAAAACCACCTTCTTCAAGCAGCCTTTGTTGTTTTATTGATATACTCACCCCATCTCCTGCTGCCCCTCCACCCCCATCACTGTGCATTTTTTTTTTTTATCCTGGATTTACTTTTCTCTAAACATGTTCCATCCTCCCCGGTACAATGTAAAGTCATTGGGGGCAAATACTGCATCATTTTGTATTTGTATGCAAATACAAACCCTGAATGCTAGGCTAAGGAATTTAGACTTTATCCTTAAGACAAGGGAGAGCCATTGAAGACTTTTGAGCTGGGTAGAGACATGGTCAAGGCTTTTCCTTGATGTTAGGCATGGGCTGTGAAAGTGCCTTAAGCTTAGATTGTTTCCTAGACCTGTCCTTCTTGGTCTTGGGTTGTTGGTGGCGTGATTTTATTTATGTCAAATACCCTGGATCCTAATCCTCCGTCAGCATAGACAGAGTGGAGGCCATTCCCTAGCCCAGGAGGAAGGCTAGGCCTGGGGCTGGAACATCGTTCAGGGGCTCTGCCCTCTGCTATCCTTCATCGATAGAAAATAGCAAGGCTCCCGATGACTCATCTACCTAATGGAAGAATTTCTACCTTCTAGGAAAGTAGGAAGTGAGGGCCCTTAACGAAGGCCAGACCTGTGTGGACTTAAGCAGTACAGTAGAAAGAAAACAGATACTTTGATGAAGAAGGGAGGGGATAAGCATTTATTAAGCACCTCCTGTATGCCAGGCACTGTGCTAAGTTTACAAATATTAATGTCATTGATAGACTAGGTTTGAGGCCTCTTTGTCACTCAGTGTGACCTTGAGCTAGTCTCCAGGCCCAGATAATAATGATAATCATAAACTTATATTTGGGGGATGGGCAGTGATTACCAAGTGCTTTCACTTACATTGTCTCATTTAATCCTCCTGTGAGGTGGGCAGAACAGACACAATCCTTCCCCATTTTACAGAGATGGAAACTGAGGCTTAAGTTAAGAGATCTGTCCCGAGGTCACATTGGTGACATCTACCTGCTGTTTGTTACCTTCCCCAAAGACGGGGTGGTAGAGAGAAAGAGGGGAGGGGGCACCTGGCTAACAGATGTTGCCTTTGATTTCTCTTAGGCTGAACACAGTTAATCTGGGCTAGGGAATTAATCGGTTAGAGGCAGGGGAGGGGGGAACAGACAGACACTCATTAATATAATCCCCCAAAATGGTGGCAAGCAGAATTCTGGCCCTGGACTTAAGATTTGAAAATTTTAGGCTTACACGAAAGGTGATATTCTTGATTTGGGGCATTAGGGTAGCAGGGTATATGTATATGAAAATTAAAAGAGGGGAGGGGGAGAAGAGAGAAGGATTTAAAGGGTGACTTTCAGGGATGGGGACAGAGAGACTCTAATCCCTAGAGAAATGAATTTGCCTTCAGACCATTTGTTCACTTAGGCATCTGGGAGGATAATGATATTAATGTCAGTTCCTTTGGGCTGGTCTGGGTGGGTTTTTCAGACAAGTGAATGCTTGGCTATACTGGAAAATGACTGAACCCCTCTTTTTTAATCCTTAGCCGGAAAGAGATTTCTTTGGACGTGAGATAGTGAGGAAAGTTGTTACTGCAAGTCAAGGTAGGTGGAATGAGATGGAATGGGATGGAATGGGGCCTCCCTATGGGAGGAGAGGAGAGGAGGAGAGAAAGGAGGTGGGGGAAGGCCAGATGGGAGCCAGGCATGAATGTTAACATAACGTTAATTAATATCATTTGCTAAGGGCAGAAGTCTCCCTTTGAGGGAAGAAAAGAAGGAGAAGAGGAAATTGGGAGCAGGAAGGGGTTTTTTATGTGCAGAGAGAGGTCACCACATTGAAGGAGAGGGAATTTAGAGTGTTCAGATTAGACATTGAGGAATAGGAGAAAGGATTGTTAATAGCATCCAGGTGAACAATCTAGGAGAAGTTGTTGGCTTATGTAAGCGCCGTCCATCTCACTGTATGAGATAGGGAGAGAAGCCACCAGCTTCTTCAGTTAAAATTTGGGTGTCTCAGGAATCTCCCCTCTCTTACCCCTGAGACTTAGAAAATGACCCCCATCTTCCTCTTATCCACAGCAAGGGTTCCAAGATACATCGTGTCCACCCCTGGGGAGTGGAAGCTGTTCCCATCAGAGCCCTTTTTTTCATTAGGGAGTCATTGTGGTATGGAGGAGAAAGATCTCAGAATACTTGACTTCCTTTCCTCCCACTTCCTAGCATGATGACCTGGGAGGTAGTCATTTCTTACTGGTTTTTTTATCTGTAAGATGGGGCTGATAATCCTTGGTCTCCCTCACCAGGTGGTTGTAAGAGAACAGCTGTGAGACCCCTTTGTAAACTGCAAAGTGGGTGTTCTAATGGATGATGATGGTTATCATCATGACTTCTTCCTTTTCTTTTGGTTGGCCATAGGAATTCAGGACTGTCTAAGTCCCTGGCTTAACCCAAATCCCACCTTAGGATAATTTCCTCATTTCCTCATAGAAATCAAACCCAGCCCCATCCCTGTGCAGACCAGGGAGCTGAGGAGAACAGAGCCTCCATTCATGGCTCCTGTGGTCCCTCTCAGTACCCCCAGTCACTCCATTGTCCCCTTGTCTTCCCACCATAGAAACCCCGGGACCTGAGAGAGATTCATTGGAGAGACGGATGGGAAAAGCAGTGGGGAAGAGCGACGTGTGGTTTCGATTTAACGAGGGTGTTTCTAATGCTGTCCGGCGGAACCTTTATATTAAAGACTTACTCTGAACCCTTGAACCCTGACCAGAGCTGTTCTCCCTGCTCAGAATTTGGGTGCCTCCTTAAGAGGAAAGAGAGATATATACTGTCCCCACCACCTTCGTGTGTGTGTGTAGTTTAGATGTTAAGTGCTATGCATTTGAGTGTATTGGCCATGTTTTGCCTCCAGACCTCTTTGTAATAAATAAAGCAGTGAATAAATTGCAACATTGAGAGACTGTTAAGTATTGCTTTGTTTTTATTTATGTATAAACCTTAGTCTCCTGCATGGTCGGCCTGTTGACTGCAAAATTGTATATTCTACAATATACAAAAGTATTGAAAAGTCTTTTTTTTTTTTTTACAAAAGTTGTTCGTTTACAAGTTCCCCTCTACCCCCCTCCCCCCCCCAAAAAAAAGGTCTGAATGGTTTTACACAAGTGTCAGTATCATTAAATGAAAGCCCATTAAATGAAAGCCCCGTTACCAAGAATCATAAGACTAGCTGGAGTAATTCTCCCTCCTTTCCTACCCTGCCATGGTAATTTAGATGGTGGTTCTGACCCCATATGTCATTGGGAGCCCACTGCCCAGACTCTTCCCTGGGTGAGTGAACCTTTCCCAAAACCCTAATTGCTCCCTTGTCCCCGTCCTTCAGGATTTGAAATCCTGCCTCCCCCCCCCCCACCCCCCACCCCATACAAATGAGAAGCCAAGGTGATAATAAGTTTGCATCAGTGCAGCATGAACCTAACTGAAAACCAGAGAGAAGAGATTGAGTCAGTGGGAGGAAGCGGGGTGTTTGGGGAAGATTCACTGTCCTGGTTGGTAGCTGTTGCTCCAGGGCAGTCTGGGGGCGAGCGCCGGAGCCCCTCTCTACAGGATGGTACATTTTCCCTTCTCCACCCAAGGGTTGTTCTTCATCAGATCAGGATTCAGAAATGGGTCGTTGGGGATTCCATCTTCAATCCACTTCAGCAGTCTACAGAAAGAGGGAAAGGAGTTAGAAGGTCCTGGGGAAGCCGGTGTGTGCTCAACAGAGCCCTGGATCTGGCGTGTGGACTGCAAGGCTGTGGTTAAGTCACTTAACTTCTGAGTCAGTTTCCTCATCTGTAAAATGGAGGTGATAATACTTGACTCACAGGCTTCATTTCCATTCAGTGCCTTCTGTGTGCCACAAATTGGTGATACAAAGACAAAAATGAATGTGCCTACCTTCAAAGGGGCATATATAGGGTTAGAGGGGGTCACAGGTCTTCCTGACTCCAAGCATCATGTCATGCTGCCTCTCTGTTTTATAAATGTGTTATAAGAATTAACAAATACTTTAGGCACTTAATGATTTTTGTCAGGAGTCCTTCCACTTGCCTCTGCCTCTTCAAAAGCATGGTGGAAGGGGCAGCTAGGTAGCTCGCTGGATAGAGCACTGGCCCTGGAGTCAGGAGGACCTGAGTTCAAATCTGGCTTCAGACACTTACAAGCTGTGTGAACCTGGGCAAGTCACTTAACCCCAATTACGGGGTGGGAGGGGAGTCGACAAAATAGAAGCACGGTAGAAAGAGCCCCCAGGTACTGAAGTCTACATTGACATATACAGCTTTGTTGTTTCCTTCTCTGGGACCTCTTTCCCCATGTGTAAAATAAGGATAATGGTTCACAGATTTAGAGCTGGAAGGGCCCTGAGAGGATATCAAGCCAAATCCCCCGCATTTTACAGATAAGAAACTAGAGCCAAAAGAGACTGGGACTTTCCTAAGGTCACACTGCTTGCAGGAACAGGATTTGAATTCAGTGCTTCTGACTTCAAATCCATTATGCTTTTCCCTCACCAGCTATCTAACAGGACCCAGCCTCAGTCCCTTGAGGATAAAAAGATGATAGGAAATGTTAATGATGTTAGTAACATCATAACTGCATTGAACCAAACTTCTCAGAATTCTTTTAAGTCTTTCATCCAGAGTCAGAGGCTGGGCTCCGGTCTGCCAGACAAGCAAAGTTCTTAGAAGGGCTTACATTTGAGACATGCCGGGAGCTGAGCTTGGCATATGGCCCTGGAGAATCGGAATGGCCAGGAGCTGAAAGTGGTCACCCAGGACCCCCCAATCAGTGCCCAAGACCAGTTGGGTTACTCCACAACCAAGTAGCACTTGTCAACACTTATACCCAGCCCAGAGCCTGTCAATTCCATCTTCATCCCACCATCTGAGCCCCTCTTGGACTAAGGCCTAGTTCGTTGAGAACAGATGGCACACTGCATTGGCATATACAAATGACATACAAATACACAGTGGTGCATTATAGCATATATGCAAAAACTTGTGTATGCAAATGAACCCATGGTCTTCCTTGAAGGGTGGGAGGAAGGAATTCTGATAGGACTGTTTTGGGCCACTAAGCAGGAGGACTGATATCCTAGACCTGGATTACAGGTATCCCAAGAAGAGAAAGACCTTGTGGCAGGTGAAGTCAGTGGATCCAAGGCAGCTCCCACCACCCCCCATCTTCTGCCTCCAAAGAGTACAGAGATGATCCCCAAACCCCTCACTCATAAGAGATGCCCCCTCCCATCCCACTCCATCTGACTCCCTCCAAACATTCTTGAAGAAGAACTCTGCCCCTGGATCACTGAGCCATACCCTTGTCACAACTCTCAAATATGTGTGTGTGTGTCTACACATATATACACAACACACACATATACATACATATACATACATATATCTCAGCCCCTTCCTCAGGCTTCTTCCAAGTCTGTCCCAGCCACGCTGCCTTTCTCTTCCTATCTCTGTCCATCAGTAACCCCACTGCTTTGAACCCTTCCCAAAGTACAGGTCCCAGGAAATATCCACATCAAGAAGTTAGACGCCAGGTTAAACCTTCGGTTTACAAAGGCCAAATGTCTCCTCTGTCCACTTTCCCTGCTTTCTTTGAAGGTCGACTACCTGGGCTTCCTGTTCCAAATCCAGCATTCTTTCCGTGCCCCCGCCCTGCCTCTCAGGGAGTCACCAGCATAAAGGTGATAGCTGAAGCCCTGGCAAGTGACCCATAGGCATTTCCAGTCTCTGCCGCTCTCTCCAGCTTGGATAGCAGCCGGTCTAACAAAATTCTCCCTTAGCCTCCCCCAGTGCATATTTTGTGTTTCATTTTCTATAGTGCTGCCCCCCCCACCTCAAGTTGCCTGAGGACAGGGGATGCTTCATGTTTGTATCCTCAGTGCTTGGCACAAGGCCTGGCACTTAGTAGGTGCTTAATAAATGCTTGCCAAAAGAATTTTCTAGACCATTTGGCCTTGGACTGAATTGAAGAGTCAGAAAAAGGAGAGTGGGGGCGTGGAGGCACCCGAGGGGGAGGGTGTTCCCCTAAAGGAACTCTGGCTCCCAGCCTCGCCCCGCCCCGCTTCACAGGCAACTCAAAGACCCTGCCTTATCCCCAGAGCTCTTTCTTAGATTAAATAAGCCCGAGGGACCCTGAAGGGCCAAGCCAAAGGCAGCTGTTTGGAACAGTTCCTTTGCACACAATTTGAATGTGATTTGCATATTTGGGCCAAAGCTTACACCATCAAAATATGGTTGCTTCTCCCAGCAATGGCCCCTTTCTCCACTTTTGACTCAAACCCTGGCCTGCAAGGGAGTGAGGGTGCAAAAAGAAGGGACGAGCATTGGAGGACACGTGTAAGGTATAACGAAGACTCACTCCGGTATTGTTTTGGAAGACATCTCCCTCTTGAAAGCCAGTTGGTATTTCAGACTCTCTACTTCTTTTTTCATCTGAGGTACGTCCCACTCTTCCATGACGCCTGAAGGGCTGGCAGATCCAGGAACAGGCTGGCAGCGGAGGGAGAGAAAAAGGAATTAGGGACGAGGACCATCCTTGCCAGCAACCAGGAAAGGCACTTTTTTTTTTTAAGGCAATTGGGGGTAAGTGACTTGCCCAGGGTCACACAGCTGGTAAGTGTCAAGTGTTTGTCTGAGGCCGGATTTGAACTCAGGTCCTCCTAACTTCAGGGCTGGTGCTGTATCCACTGTGCCACCTAGCTGCCCCCTAGGAAAGACACTTCTCCACTGAGAATGGAACAAAACCATCATGGACCCCAATCCTTAGCCTGCTAATGGACCAATGTCACGAATATATCAGTCTATCAATCTCAGTGAATGTGTTCTCCTGGGAGAGAGGCCAACCTCCCTTTCCTCCTGCTGAATGCAGATAGACGGTGAGAGAATGAGTTGTCAGCTGAGAGCTCCCAGGGTATAGCTGAGGCCCAGGGCCTCTGCTAGTAATGCCTTATCATAATCCCTTTTCACTTTTCAAAGCCCCTTAACATCCATTATTGCATTGAATCCTCACAATATTCTATTAAATCAAACAGAACCAAGATTATTCTCCTTATCTTACAAATGAGGAAACTGAGGCTCAGAGCTCAGTAACCAACACTGAGCCCTCAAATCTTTACCATCATCACCATCAATGAAAACTATCACTAACATCCCACCAGCAGCAGCAGCAGCAGAATAGTATAGTGGAGAGAGTGTTAGGCTTCAATGTCAAGAAGGCCTGGAGCAGCAGGGTGCCAGAGCCAGCTCAAATTGGCATGAGAGCTGCTTGTTAAACCCAGCATGAGCATTTACACCTCATTTGGCAAATGCCACCTCAGGTTATCTTTTTTTTTTTTTTGTGATGAGGCAATTGGGGTTAAGTGACCTGCCCACAGTCACACGGCTAGTAAGTTTTTTTATGTGTCTGAGTCCAGATTTGAACTCTGGTGCTCCTGACTCCAGAGTCAGTGCTCTATCCACTGCGGCCACCTAGCTGCCCCCTCAGTTTATCTTTTTGTCAATTTCTGGACTTCAGAAAGTAAAGGGGAAAATGTTAACAACACATAAATTGCAGATAAGATGCTGCTCAGCACTGATAGGATAAGTTCATCACAGGGAACTCCCTATATCGATGAAATCATAGACACACAAAACCCATCAATTTCACCATCATCACCACTAACCAAATCACCCTACAAGCATCCAGCTGCCATCCTGGGCTTTCTCTCATCCTCTTTCTAAAAGTCTTCTCCTCTCGACCTGGACTCTTTCCTCTCTTCTCTTTCTTTCCTTGATGATCTCATTATGGGTTCAATCATCATCTTTACCCAGATAACTTCCAAATCCACACACACAGCCCTAATGTCTCTCTGGAGCTCAAGTACTGCATTGCCAGCTTCCTGCTGGATTGTTCAGTTGTTTCAGTCATATCTGACTCTTCATAACCCCATTTGGGGTTTTCTTGGCAAAGACACTGCCTCGGCTTGCCATCTCCTTCTCCAGCTTGTTTTACAGATGAGGAAACAGAGGCCAGTAAGGTTAAATGACTTGGCCAGGGTCACATGGCTAGTGTCTGAGGCCAGATTGGAACTCAGGAAGATGAATCTTCCTGACTCCAGGCCCAGCACTCTATACTTCAACACCTAGCAAGTGCCTGCCGGATATTACCATTTAAACATCCCTTTGATGTATCAAACTCAGCACATCCAAAATAACTCATCTTCTTTTCCTCTCATCTAAACTTCTGACCACCTTCCTCCTACCCCCTTTCCCCTCAGGTTTATAACCTGGAGTCAGCTTAGACTCTTTTACACCTCCCTTCTCCTTCCCTAACCCATATTCAATTGATTGCTTGTCTTATTAATTCTACATCCACAATATCTTGCATCTATCCTCTTTTATCAATTCACATAGCCATCACCCTAGTTAACTTTAGTCAATCAAGAAGCCAAGACTTTGTCACCTCTTGCCTGGACCACTGTAATACCTCTTAACTAGGCTTCCTGCTTCCAGTCTATCCTTCTTCCAATTCATCTTATACACAGAGGCCAAGATAATCTTCCCAAGGTACCATTTCACTCCATTGCTTGGAAACCTTCTGTAGCTCCCTCTTACCTCTCCTATAAAATACCAACTCATTAGCCTGGCATTTAAGGCCTATCCACAGTCTAATTCCAAGCTTTCCTTCCTTTATCTTTTCCTTTGTCCCACACTGCTCCCATTCTTATGCGATATTGCAGAAAAACTAGCCAACTGACAGGTCTCTGAATTTGACATTCTATTTCCGTGAGGCCATCTCACCCTGCAGTATCTTACTGCTTTGCCAATACTCCTCTCCCATTGGTGAGTTCCATTTTGGTGGGCTTCCATTTTGTAGAGGGGCCTGTGCCAACTAATCTTTCCTCTTTTGCTATGCTTCTGACTTTCTGAACTTCAACACCAATACCCCGGCACAAGGTACTCCCTTAACCCTTTCCAGTTCCCTTTTGTGTATTATCTTTCCCCATTGGATTGTAAGCCTTGAGGGCAGGAACTGTCTTTCTTTTTGCTTCTACATAAATCCCTAGAGCTGAGAACAGTACCTAGCACATAACAAATGCTTAATGAATGCCTCTTGCCTGGCCTTGCCTCCATAAGTGTGTATGTGCTGTTCCCCATGCCTGGAATACACTTCTTCCCCAACTCTACCTTTCAGATTCCCTGTTGTCTTTCAAGTTGAGCTCAGGTATCATCTTTACTGTCAAGTTTTCTGACCATCAGCTCACAGCCATATCTTTCTCCTGTCTGTATCTCACTGATTTATACACATAAGAAAAATATTAACCATGCTTTGTCTCCCTAAGCAGATTTTAAGATCCTTGAGGGTGGAAATTATTTCTGATCTATCTTTGCATTCTCTGAAACATCTAGCACAGGTATGTAAGCTCTTTGGGTGTAGGGATTGACCTGTATATTATATTTATATACCCAGTGCCTAGCACAGTACTTGGTACATAGTAGGTCCTTAAAGAATGTTTGTTGATTGATTGATTTTACATATGTTCAATAAAGATCTGTTGATTAATGGATTGAGTAGACTACAACAGAAAGTAGATTACAGCCGAAAGGACTAAGGTTAGACATAGGAAGGAACTTTGCCAATAGTGGGACTGAAAGTCTAGAATGGGGCAGAGTCCTTTTGGGGATAAGAAACTTGGTAAAATGATCTCAGGTTTATTGAACAGTCCTCTCCTCCTCCCCTACGTTGGACAGGTTCTCAGGATTCTAGAGCCCATCCCTGCCCAAACCAGGACTTCAGCATTCTAGAACAGAGCTTCTTAAACTTTTTCTACTCAAATTTTAGCAGTATTCATTGGCATTGTGTGGCCTGAAGGCATGTGCAGTGCAAAGTGCACATGCTTTGTGTTCAGAACCAAGGCTACAATGAAGTTGTGCAATCAACACACAAGCACTGCCAGAAACACCCCAGATTCTTTACACATTTGATTTTTAATTAATTTTTGGTCATTACACGTTCAGAAACCTTTTACTGTTGCTAAATCTTTCTGGAGTCATGACCCACAGTTTTAAGAAGCGCTATCTAGAACATCCTCTTCCCCTCCCCCAAAAGACCTCTAGAACCTGACGGGTATTCTAGAACTCCTTGGATGAGACAAATAGGCCTTTTGGTGAGAGGCTTTGAAAGTACTCCTCTTTGCCTTCTGCTGTTGTGCTGAAACCAGAGAAGGGCAGGAGCATTTGATTAACAAATTTGAGAGTTGCCAGGGCAGCAAGGATCTTAGATAGGAAGAGGGGAGAAGGTTTGCAGTCTCAATTCCCCAAACAAGCCAAGGGATCTGAACTCCACCGCCACATAAACATGGGATTTCCCAGGACTGGAAGAAATCTCACACTTGCCCTTGGTTTCCCCTATGTAAAATGGGATAATCCCCAAGTTTCCTTCCAGCACTGACATTCTTTGATTCTACAATAGAGAACCTATGTATTCTCTGCAGAATAGGTTAGAGTATTAATTATATCTGAGAAGACCATCAGTGACAGTTGCCTAACCACATTATCCTTCAAGATTCTCTGCCCAGAGTCTAGGCTCATGAAGCCAACTTATGGGATCCCCACTGACACCAGTTAACTTGCACACTTACCCTCTCTGGGCCTCAGTTTCCACATTTGTAAAATAGTAAACGCCTGACCCTTAGTCCCCACCTAGCTCTCTCCACTCACATGTACATTGGGTAATTGTGGCCTGTGAGGGAGATGATGGATGGCTCAGTGTGGTCCATGCCCACATGACTCTGAGTCCATAGCCTGCTACCACACAATAAAAGAATATACAAGTAGGTCCCATTCTAAGGAAGTCCCATCTCATCCCATCTTGATTAGGGAGTACAGCAGGAATAGTGTAATCCACTTTACAAAAGTATTTGGCCCAGGGGCTGAACATCCTGTTGACAATTTGACTAAATGTGGCAAGGCGGCAGAAAGAGAGCCGTTGTTCTCCTCACCACACCTCCCCTATGCCCAGCTTCAGCATCACAGAGGGCAGGGTCACCATATCCCCTCAGCCCCTGACCAGGAGCTAGATGGACTGGGCAGCACACATTCAATCTGCCGCCTCTCCTTCCTAGTCCAGTCTGCACTCTCCTCCCTGTTCCAGTTCTGTCTGGAACAAAGAGATCCCAGGCCCTGGTCATCTCAATCATGGGACTACTAGAGACACCTCTGATCTGCCCTCCCCCCATTGCCCTGGGTTATGGGATATAGGAAGGCTCTAAATAGCTTCTCTTTTTTTTGTCTTTGACCCTAAGTAATTTAAATCCACTGAAAATCTAAATTCTTAATGCCTACAGAATTGCAGTAACAGCAGTAGGTTGGAAATCAGAGGCCCTGGGTTTAAGTCCCGCCTCTTACTGTCTGTCCATCCCTGGGCCGGGCACTCTTAAGTTCCTTGAGCCTTAGTTTTCTCATCTCTAAAATGACAGCATGGGGCTAGATGTCATTTAAGTTCTCTTCTA